GGTCTCATACGATAGGATAGCGTGCCGGAGCTGTAGAATGAAGACCAATCGACAAGGGAGATGAATGTCTACCATTGGCTGATAACCAACTAGGTATGTAGCCTGGTCCAAGATAAAACAATGCAAAAAAAACAGCGCAAGACAAGACCTACCTTTAGCATTTTGAAAATTTTTTTCGACAGGTCCGCATCAAAATTAGAATATCTAGCGTCAGTCATATCGTAGATGAGGATAACACCGTTTCTGATCGCTGTCTCCCTGTGAAGTAGATAGAAAAGTCATGAGGCTTATGGGCAAATAATATGTACAAAACTTTGCAATTTCCGGAAAGGGACGCTACAAATCAGGGAGAACATCGGTATCAACAGGATATACAGAGGACACATGCGATAAAAATGACACAGAAGGACTGAATAGTTTGGAATCATCTGGAGATGTTGTGAGAGCCTGGTTTACGCCGACAAGACACGAGCCTTTAAAGCATCTGAGTCGTCAATGTGGATGTCGAAATTCCATCGAACCTGACGTAAGGCGTTGGGCTTTCCCAGTACTTACGTTTTTAGTAACTTAGTCTTGATCAACGCCATTCATACTCAGTAGAGAATTGAGTGGATTAAAAGGAGTTAAATACAGCCTTTGTGCATGCATGGGGTTATCTAATAAAAGCGTCAGAGACACCCACCCCCTTTGCGTGTAGTCGTCCGACTTTCTTACTTTAAGTGGGAAATAAATAAGTTTTCGAGAACCTCGAAACATGGGAGTCGAAGCATAATTTTTTACATGTCGGGTCAGTACGCAACGAAAAATCTCGCGCGCCAACCAGTGTAGACCGTACTTTTAAGCGCCGAGCCTGTGAATTAGTCTGCTGGTGTAAGCCCTAAGCGATAAAAGACGCCGATTAAATAACTTAAACGGAATTTAGGAGCTTAGGCCATAGCTGCGGGCAAAGACGTACCCTTGCCAGCGAGTGAGATGAATAAGTCGATATAAAAGTGATCCCTCACGAAACCTGAGGAGGAACTCTTCCAATGACCAACTTTTGTAATTCTTAACTTAAATAATTCTCCTTAATCCCTCATATTTTGTATGGAATTGAGAGTGGCGAAGTAAACTGGGACGTCTGGTTCATGCCTTTTGTTAATAATAGTGATAATCGAGGTGATTGTGGTGCAAGGGGTATTTACGGCAGTGACATAAACCGTAGTAGTAGTGGTGTTGGCGATAACGGTAGCAAGAACATAATTGGTGGATGTAACAGTAGTGATAGCAGAATAAATTATATAGCACTGTTTAAAAAATATCATGGCAAAAGTGTCGGTCTTCTTTGAATGGACTCGTGATTAAACCTAAGGATGCGATTGCTAATCACGAGGAACCGATATTGAACTTTGGCGCGTTTAAATTAGATCACAGAGTTTAAACTTGAGTACATCCCAATCGGACTGAGCATTCATTAGACGGCGAGAGACAAAAGGAAAATCTGGGAGGAATGGGTAGCCTGCCTGATAAACTAACTGCGGACAACCCAACGCGGATAGTAGAAAGGTCTTCAGTGAAGGCTAACTGCGAAATAAGCAGATTCTTTCGTCTAACGGATAGGCAGCTGTGAATTATGCAGTGATAATATCCTAAAGCGTGGTTGGGCATGGAGAATCGGGTACCAATACAATGATCACAGCTGTACTATGACGTGGTAAACCATATTCACCGTCGTATAAAGCCCTTCTGCAGGATCCTAGAAGTTGCAAAGAAATACACGCGATCACTGGAATTCGCCCAACGTTTCGTAT